TACTTCTGACTGTGAAAATATTTTAATCATTCGATAGAAATGTTTATTTTGTGTCATATGAACAAAGAAAAATAATAAAAATTGTGTAGTTCAGTGAGGAGAAATGTAGGATCTGTGTGTAGAATAACAGCCACCTTGTGTTACCTGTGATGAAGCAATTAAGTTATATGCATATTTTTGCCTTAAAGCATTTAAAAAAATTTGGGAGATTACAGAACTTGCCAAGATATATTGTGGTATGAAGTTATTACATTTGTACCATTACTTTATGTAAATGGCTTGAAAATTTTTAATTCATATCTTGTAAACATAATATCTGATACAAAATTCACTAATTCAATATAAATTCAATCCCAGATTAAAGTCAATGAAATCAATTCTTTTTAGTGATGATTTTTATAAATAAAGAAAGTTTTAAGCATTACAATAGTGAAAGCATATAATAAACTGGATTTGTATCCTGTAGCTTCTTCACAATACGTTTTATTTACAACATTATTCATTGTAGTACATTGACTAGAGTACATGGGAATTAAAATATTTGCTAACAGGGTAATGTTAGTAATAATTGCCAGTGACTACACTGGGATGTTGCTCATTATTTTGTAGCCTGATCATTGGTATTACTGTGTCCTATAGGAATTTAACTGTGATATCAATGCAGCATTATTCAGAACGCAAAATATGGAGTAGTTCATTAACTTCATGGCACCCTCTGAACAGCCAAAAATATTCATAATGACATTTATTTGAATTAAGGATTCTATAGACTACCACAGGAAGTTCCGCAGTTTAGCAGAATGTCCGCAGTTGAAATTTCGCGTCACGTGTTGGCTTGTGAGCGTTCGCGGCAAGCGAGCGACGCGGCAGCTTCCAATATCAAAATTGGCAGTATTTAGTCCGTGGCGGATTTTGTTCCGCGGTCGGACGCGTTTTTTCCGCTGCCGCTCGAGTTCTGCTGTGCAAACTAAGATACAGACTCGTCAGTTGTAAATTTTCAGCTCACCAGTGAATTTTATAAAACTGACGATCAGAAAAAATATTTCTAATCATGTGCAGTAAATTAATTAATTTTAAATACCATTAAACTTCGATTTTAAAATTGTTTGTTCTGAAAAATTTGTACATTTTATTAATGAAATGTTTCAATAGAATTAGATTGAATTATTTACATAATATTAGATATATAATTATAGCAAGTCATTCTTCAGGCTACTTGATTGTTAAATGTCAGATTTTTTGTGATCAGATTCATATCAGTCTCCTGCGTTCAGATTCAAAATTTCATAAAAAAGTCATTGGTCATTTTAGTAAATTATAGGTGTATCTTGTCCTTTGTGGCATCAAGGTGTGAAATTCTCCAATTTTTTCATTTCTGTAGAAAAATCATGGACCCCTTTCCTACGTTTTCTAAAGAAATATTAATAATTTGAGGGAAAATCATAAAGAAAGAAGGAAAAAGTACCGCACCACATGTGCTCAGGAATCATACTACAAGTAACTTGGCATTTCTATTCCCTGCATGAATACAAGCAAGCACTTTTTCTTTATCGGATGAAAACTGTCACTGAACACTGAGTCATAATTGACTCTCCAGTGTGAATGGATCTGTGAAATCCACTGCCATGTCTAGAAACTTTTGTACCCGCTGTGGATCTTCCGTGCCGGGCTGTGGGAACTTTTATGTCCTGCTGAAATATCACCTGGTTACAAGATGATTGTAGATAATTGCCCATGTTCAAATTATTTTTAATATTTATCATTTTGCAAAACCATGAGTTAGATGAAAATTTTGAATCTGAGTAGCTACATAGTATTTTTTCCGAGTGCATGACAGCGTGGCCACTGTAAGTTAGTTTTCCATGTTGGAGTGTACAGTAAACTCACAATTATCTGCAGTATTGGGAATAAACAAATTCTGCAGGTAATCCGAAATACGCCGGAAAAGAAAGAAAATCAAACCAAAATGCTTTTAATGTTTTATTTACACCAAAATGGCTACATATTCACACAATTACATACATGATAAACAATTATTTTATGTATGTTCAACTTTCTTCTGTTACTTTTTAAGAAAAAATCAATTAACTATCTTTGTTTTTTCTTGTTGAAGTATTTGTTCTTTATTTGTGACTGAAGTTTCTTAAACAATATGTTTTTATTATAAATACTGCTGTAGAAAAAGGGAAATGGGAGAGGCTGGATAGGTCCGTGGGTAATCTGGCCACAGATAATTGGATGCTTACTGTATATTCCATTTTAATTAGTTATCAAATATGAAATAATATGATTTAATTTTTATTACCATGTTGCAAAACTATAATTATTTGCATTTTTTAAATTATCACTTGCCAAGAGTCTTGTTAATATTGCCCGAGCAATTTCTTCTCCCAACTTCGTGTTTTTTTCTGAATGCTAATATTTAAGTTGTATGAAAATATTCCCTTAGCATGATGAGATTGCAATATTTAATAAAGATCAAAGACATTTTTCTATTCTTATACTAATGTAATTTGTTTTTTTCTCTAATGCACTCTCATCATTCTCTTGGTATGTTGAGCTATATTTATAGTTGACAAGTGCAATATTACTGAGATTCATCTCCTTGGATAGAATGATGGTACTTTTTCATGTGCCTATTATTTATTTGCAATCCAGAAGAATGTTTTATTAAAATTTTTTTGAATAATGATATTTTTTAACAGTTTTATGATAATCCAACTCTATAATCATTAAAAAATAACTAGAAATACTCGTGCAAAATGTCAAGATTTTCACATATGTAATTTTTTCTATCATGTAATGATCTTAAAATTTTATTCAAAACTTGATAGATTTGCAAACAAAGGTTGAGAGACTTTTTTAAAAATCTTCTTAAAGGTCTGTAAGGTGAAGTGAGGGATAATAATAGTTTTATATAGGTATTTAATTTATTATATTATACATTACATCTTGTTTAAACTTGTCTCGTTTGAGGGAATATTAGTTGGTGACATGGAAATATCTTTTCCAATTTTGATGTGATGATATTCACTCTAAAATCTCTTACACAGTAAATTCCTAAGACTTTGGATAATGATATTAGGTGTTTCATTCTCAAAGCATTAGTGACATCATCTTGGTACTTTGAATTAGCATGAATTGAATTTTTAGAGATCAAGGGAGGCAGGAAAATGTAATTCTTATTGGAATTGACATTATAATTTTATTAATTTTCTTGTTGTCTTCCAAATAATCTGGAGGACTGACAAAATCAGAGTACATTCCTCATCAGAGTAGGATTCCTTTTCTCCAAAGTTGTCTAGATAATTAATTAGTCTGTCTAAAAGTTGCTTTGGAATTTAATATATTGTGTTAGAAACTGGTTTAAACTTCTAACAATGGCATGGGAAATTTTAATGTGATGGGTAGCATGGGGTGTCTGCTACACAAAGAATTTAAATTTTACCACATGCATAAAAGTGTCAAAAAAACAATTCACCTACATAGAAGGATAATTGAGACAAATTTGGAGACTAATTTTCAAGAAATTTATTTTATTTAAAAGCCAAATAATATATTTCAAGTGAATTGATGAGTTTTTAATGGAAATTTCATCATGTAAGGGAACTATCCAAACGTAATTTCTTTTATATAATTTCAATTCGAAAACAATCCTAAACAAGTCATAAAATACTCCTCACAAATTATGATTGAGAATATTTTACCATAAAAATGCAGAGAAGTGTTATGTGGAGTGTCTAGCACATCCCAACTACAGCTTCACTTTCCAGAAAAAATGGTGCAGGCAAATTTGATCTTGCTTCCACAAAGAAGTGATCAAAATACCTTTCTGGAAAGGTATATGAAGATGTAACCATCTAAGCAACTTCAGAAATATAGTATTTATTCAGCAGGGGCTTGTATGACTTGTTAATAGTTAAGTGTGTTACGAACTGTGAGCTCTTCTAAACACCTGAACAAAACCCCAATTCATTTGAGGGATAGGAACATTTGGAAGGAAAATATATAAAATTCGACATGATGTTGTTTTGTGGTCGTAAATTTGAATCAGAAAATAAATTTTACAATGGCTTCTTCCTACTCTAAATTTGAAATAATTTTCAGGTTTTTGCAAAAGTGTTAAAATTATTTTGTTCCTGACTGTTCCTTTTAGTCTAGTAAATTTTAGTTTTAAAATTGTAATATAGTGTTAAACAGTGTCAAGTGGAAAAGTTTTTTGGATAATTCAAGACTCCTTTGTTGACAAAAATCACAAGGTTATTGTTTTTCTCACAATGTGAACCAATGAATTTGTAAAAATAAGTATTTGAAGTTTCTTGATTTTTGCTTACATGGGAGTAGCTTAAAATGGATAGCAAGTTCTGCCTATCTCTGCCCAAGACATTAAATTGCTATTGATAAAAACATGGAATCAAGTTGCAGAAGTGTATTGTGTAAGACTTTTAGAATACTACTATGATATTCTGCCTTCTTGCATGGGAAACTATCATTCTTTTGAAGAGAAGTGAATTCTTGTTTTGTAGAATGTAACAATTTTTAAATTCCATGCCCGTTTATTCTATCACATTTTTGTTGTGTTACTTTTGTTTTATTTAGAGTTGGTCATAATCTAGACATAAAAAAATAAGTGACTTATTGTCAATATGCCTTATGCAGTCAAACTGTGAAAGTACCATCTAATTGGAATGAATTTTGAACTAAATCACAGTCCAGCACTTACAGTCTATGAAATTCATCTCATTGTGTAGTAAATTCCTTCATTATATAAAAGAAGTTTAAATAGGAAGAAATTGTTTTGTTATCTATAAAAAGAAAAATGTATTTTTCTGTGAATATCATAAAGAGCTATGAATGAATTTGAGATGAGAGGTGTCATCCAGGAAGTAATGAATCTGAGCTGAATTGCAATATTATGTTCATATTAGTACATCTGTTTGCATGAGATAAGAAAATATTGTTGTTACATTTCAATAAATTGTACGATTTTATTCCTACAGGCCTTGAGTAGTATGTCTGTGGCTGCTCCGCCTCCTGGAGACCGTGGACTTCAAGACCCTGAGCAAGTGAGGCGTGAAAGTATAAGTGCAGCTTCTGTTGGGATGCCTTCTTCAGTTCCTAGTCCTGCTTTGTATGGTCAGCACATGCGAAGCCCAATTAGTAGACGTGATTCTGTGGTGTCCCAAGTTGAGGCAGCAGGAGTAAGTGCACTGCCTCCACAACTGCAACATTTGCAGCAACAAAAACAATTACAGTTGCAACAACAGCAACAGCAGTTACAAATGCACCACCAGCAGCAATTTCAACATCAACAGCAGCACCAGCAGCCACAGCAACAGCAGCAGCTATCATATCAACAAACACAGCAATTACAACTACAACAACAGCAGCATCAACAACAGCAACAATTACAAGGTCAACAACTTCAGTCCCATCAACAGCCAGGTTTCCCTCAGCATGTTCAACTTCCTCCAAGCACTGGCTTTAATCCTTTCATATATGGCAATGATGTTGATTCAGTTGATGTAGCAACAAGAGTGGCAATGGTATGTTTTCCTCCTGTGTATTTTTCAATGATAATAAATATTTTTGATATATTGTTTGTGCTATATAATCTTTTTGTTGTTTATAGGTGAGGTTTTTCAATTCCCAGAACCTTCTGGCAAACTTTACTGAGCATACACGAACTTTGAGGCTCTACCCACGGCCTGTTGTAGCTTTTCAAATTAATAGTTTTCTGCGGTCACGGCCTCGAACTTCTCATTTTCTGAATCGTTTTGCTCGAACACAGGTAAATGTTTATTAGTAACTAATGAAAATAAAATCTAATGTTTTGACCTATTTCTAATACACGTGGTATTTAATCATGTGTACATTATACTTATATGTTTATGTAAGTTCTCTTAATAATTTGTGATCTTAATAAATGATGGAACATATCTTGATATAATTTTTTGAAAATGATGAACATAATAATATAATTGAAGACAATAGTAGTAATAATAATAAACATAATAATAATTTAAAAAATAATAATAATAATTATTAATAATAATAATAATAATAATAATAATAATAATAATAATATTATTATTAATAATAACAGTAACGCTCTAAGGGTAATGACCACTTATTTATATTGCAGGCGGTGGAATTTCTTGCTGAGTGGTCATTGACCCCAAGTAATGTTGCCTTTTTGAGAGTGCACACTGGTGTATTTGATCCTACTTTAATAGGCGATAAACCCAAATGGTATGCTCACACTTTAGATCCTATTCGCTTCATAGTATGGGATGAGGGAAGCTCTTTGAATGGAGCTCTTCGATCTCTGAAACAACAAGAACAGCCCACAGGTCAGTAAGATGTTGTAGACTGAATTTTTTAAAAGAGTAAGTTGTGTAAATGTAGCATTTTACTGAAATAATCAGAGTTATTGCTTCTTGAATTCCCTAGACTTACTCTGTTTTGTTTAGATGAAAGTGGGTCAGATTCTGAAGGAGCTGAAAGTACAAGTTCTTCGTACTCATCTTTGAGTGATTTTGTGTCTGAAATGGTGTCTTCCGACCTTTCTCCAAGTATGTATAAATTAGTTTCAGCAATGTAGCTTTGACTTTTGGTTTCTGAATTCTACATTATATTATCAATTTTTGTAGGTTTTCAACCTGCAACACCACATCAAGAAAGAAGTGAATTTTTCTCTCAAACTATTCCTCCCACACACATGTCTTTGTCTAGTGGCCTTGATCCTCGGTCTGTGTACCATCCACCATCTGCACTCCAACTTCCTGGAACAGTACTAGATGAACAAGCCGTAACAAGTCGTCCTGATTCCCCTCATTCAACATCATCAAGCCACAGTGATCTCAGTTCACCTAGCTTTAACAGAGACTCTGAAATGGAGTTTGCAACAAGACTGCAGGGAGAAAATGTTGAAACTCTGAAGACTGATGTAGTGGTATGTTGAGTAAATCTTGATTTGTTTGTGTGTGTTGTGAGAGCATGTTTTTTTACAGCACTTGTATTTTTGAAGTAGTAGTGTAGTCAAAAGTTTTCTGCACCTTAACTCGTAATATCCTCTGGCATCAGGATAAAGAAGAGGTGTTGAGTCCTGGAGGGGAATCAGATTCTAATTCTACTACAACCACACCTAAGACAATTATAAGTAATCAATCCTCACTTCCACACCACTCTCCTACCCCAAGTTTGGGGAGTGAGACATCTTTGGGAGGATCAGACAGGGACCGGCCTGGGACACCTAAGTCTCGACTAGTTCGATCTGCCACTCCTGTAAGTCTGTTAGGTTTTTCAGTTGCATGCCACTTATGGACTTTATATGGTGTGAATTATTTGCACATTTTTGAATTTGTCCATTCACATTAATATCTTATTTGTGTGACTGTTATAGAATTTAAAATTTGAATAATATGAATATCATCTGTTATCACTTTCCTGCATAAAAAGTGTAACTTTTTGCAAAATGCATAACTTCATTGATTTCAGTGCTCCAAACAACTTCAATATCCTGGAACTGTCAGCACCTTAACTATTCCAGTCTGCAGTCTTGATTTAGTACCCTTTATGTGTCCTTTGGTAAAATCCATCTCTTCCTGGTGTGCAGGTACCACCCCCCAGCCCTGGTCCACAGAGACAACCAAGTATTGGTAATGTATTGGCGCGGACATCTAGCTTTGGCTCACCTGGTTCTGGCGGTGGAGTAACACGACAAGGGAGTCAGACATCCTTATTTGAGCAGTTTGCAAGCTCAGCGAAAGAACTGGTTCGAGAGACTACCAGGCAGAGCAGTCAGGATGGACTTTTGGCTCAAATGGACAAGGTATGGATCGTTTTCTTTTTATATTTCAGTTTCAAAGTAAAACGATACATTCCTGGAAAAGTTAATGTTCTGATATTTGGAAATACTGTTACAAACAATATTTTAGAGTAATGCTATTATGCTGATCTAGGGTCATCAAAATAGTAAGGTACATCTGTACATTAAAGTCACTATTTTAATTGTTAGTTTTTATTTATTTATAATTATGAGATTTAATCATCTTTCACAGGTTTGTATTTTTTGGTGTATGGAACGATGTTCCTTCATGATCCGTTTGATTGGCCCTTTCTTTTTCTTTCTTTCTCGTACAGAAAGGTTTAAGCATTTACTCGATAATGAAAGAACAGGGTTTATTCTGGATGTGTAGTTTCAAATCAGGAAGTGGAGATGACAGTAGCAAAAAATTGAGTTATGAATCTAACTTAATGAATTATGCTAATAAAATCTCATTCTGTAAAATGTCCATCCGTGTTAAAATTTTGAATATCTATATCTATATCTAATATATATATATTTATATATATTAATATATATATATATATATATATATATATATATAATATATAGATATATTAATATATATTGTGTGTATGTGGGCGGTTGCGGAGTCCTGTTTAAAATGGCCGTTATTACGCTCATTGTTTGTAAACATTTGAAAAAAATGCTCCAGGATACGATGCACACGACGGTTTGACACATTTTACGTATGTGTCATACACACTTTCTGTTCGAGAGTGAACTTGGAACGTGTACCATCACAAACCGACTATTCAGCCAGACTGGAAAGCGTGCCTGGGCGAGACCGCGGGCAACGTTCTCAGGGGAGTTCTACGCACCGTTCTCGGGCGAGTGAGGACCGGTCGGCCGAGCAAAATATTTCACGATCGCGGAACACTAATAAAATAGTCTCACTGTACAAGCTGTATAGTTGTTAAAAGGTTTGGCTTGTTTGTTGAATTTTTGTTGTTGCGAGTTGGTTTCGCAAGTGGTGGTAACCGAATATTTCAGTTTCTGTGATATAAAGTCGTGAGAAACATCCTACGCCGGTGTTTGTAGATTGCGGCAACCATTACAGCTTCATACACGCGCGCTGTGCGGGTTGCATATTAGTCGACTAACTGCATTGCAATGGATCGGTACCCGTTGATTCGAGCAGCGATTGCCGGGCCATTCCTCGTAACCGTGGACACGCGAGTACGAAACGTCACCACCCACCCCAACGAACGGATGGGAGAGCAGAAGCTAAATGGCTATTATTTTACTGCTCATTTCCTGTTTCGTGACAATTGTAGAATACCTTCCTTCAGAATTAAAATGAAGCCCTTTGTCACGTTTTAGAGATTTGTGCAGATTTCTCAAGTCTAAAGGCGCCTCTAAGTTTAATTTTTCAACTAGTGGTGCTAAACAAGCACATTATTTCTTGCATTATTTGAAACGGCTCCGCAATATGATACTACCGCATGAACATGCAAAGTGTATCCAACCGGCAAACATTTTTCTCCGCACCGAAACTCGAACTCGGGTTCATAGACTTAACTTGACATGCATTCACCGCTACACCACGCAGTCGCTCTGTATTCACTTTTGCGGACTCTGAGAAAAAAATTCTCCCATCATTTCTAACATGCAAATTTAGAGTTGAACGAAAAAGAGAACTGCCTCATTTTTTAGCGTTCCTTGCTATAGAAAAACATTGAAGAAAAAATGTGAGCCGTTTTTCAGAAAATGTTTCTTTGTATAAATTGCATTAACTTCAAGCAGAAATTATATGAAAACTTCACGTAAAAATGTACATAGCCTTTTTTAAAGATCTTAAGTTTTAAATCAGATTTAATTTAAGAAAAAATTCTCTATCTTCAATATTCTATTTTTGCAATATTCATTTTTTTTTCAATTTTCGAAAATAGAGTGTTTGCTGAAAATGCGACCAGTACTGATTTTTTTTTACCGTTCTATGATACATATGAGAAGAAATTTTTAAGAAAAATATCAGCGCCGATTTGATGATATAATTGTTGAAAAATTGCCCACATTCCACACAAATTACGCGAAAGCAACTCATATTACGAAAACATTTACACGACTTTATTTCAAGGTCTGTCTTTAAAGAACAACAAAGAAATTATAAAAAAAATCCTTATCTTCAATACTGTAGTTGTAGAAAGATCCCGAAAAAAATACATTTTTTTTGAAAAATCAGTGATTTCAAAGAAAATGAGATCTGCTCTATTCTTTAAGCTTCCTTTACGCTATTCGAGTACAAAATATTAATTTAGTGCCTTATTTGGAAAACTTTGAAAATATTTATGAGGCTACATGTCAAGTACCCCCCATTCCCTGCTTCCAACTCACAGAGCCTCGAGTTAGTTTAGGTAGATCGCGGAATATCGCATTTGGAGATAATCAGCTGAGCGATTTAGGCATTATGTTGACAACAGACAGATTGGAGGTATTACAGGAGGTATAGCTAGTGTAAATAGTCTTTTTAATATCGCCTTTTTTAAGAAGAGAAAGTATTGTAATCATGCGCCGGAAATCGGCGATTTTTGTACAGAAATACTCTTATTGTGGGTGTTCGACCCTGCTAACGAAATAGTGAATAAATCTCGTTTCTATTTGGTCCGTCCAACCTTTCGTCCGTCCTTCCGTCCGTCGGCCCGTCCGTCCGTCGGCCCGTCCGTCCGTCGGCCCGTCCGTCCGTCGGCCCGTCCGTCTAGCACCTAAACCAGTAAGACACTGCCGATTCTAGTATAGCGCCGCCCGTTGTTCAGCTGCAATTCTGCAAAATTTCTGTTCTGCGATCGAACTGAACGAACTCGAAACCCCGCGAGTTTGAAACGGATATTTTCATTTTAGGGGTACTATACAGAGAAGCCTCGACAGTTTCAGTATTTTCTCAAAAATGGCTTCAAAGTTTTTGATTAAACTCTGAAAACTTTAATTACTATTATGGTAATTAATTTTGCATCTATAAATCATGTTTAGTTCTAAAAGTACAGACAATGCAAATATTTATTCAATAATAATGGTTAGTCAGAATAGAAATTATTTTTCACAAATTATGTAGAAACTGTGTGATGTGTTTTAACTTATTTTTTTACTTTATCCGGAGTTTGTCTGAATGGTGTAAAGCGTGTTTAAAAGAAAGTGCAAGTATACTTTTTGATAACCTCTCTGAAATTTCGAAAATTGCAAAAAAAAAAAAAGAGAGAGAGAGAGAGAAGAGAAAACATTGGAAAAGTACAATATTGAAGATGAAATTTTTTGTCTCAAATAAAATTTGTTCTAAGACAGATCTTTAAGAGCTGTAATTTTTCACTGCAGTTTGATCAAATTACTTTAAAATAGGGTGGCAAATCTAATTTTCATTGAACTTTATGAACTTTCGGAAATTGTGTTTTGGAAATAATGGGAGAGACCAGTAGCTTTTGAGTGTCATCACAAGTGAGTGTGGCTGAGCAACTGCGTGTGGTAGCAGTAAAGGAAAGTTCATTTGATGGTCCTGAGTTCAGGTGTTGGCATGGAGATAAATTTTTTTCTGTTTGGAAACACCTTTCAGGTTCATTTAGTAGCATAATATTATGGAGCTGTTAAAAATAATGCAAGGCAGTATGTGCTGTTGTAACTCAACTAGTTTGTGAATCTATTGTCTTATGTGGGAAAAGATCATATATAACCTGTCCAAAAATCTGCTTTTTCCATATGATTATTTTTTGATCCGTTCTCTGAATGTAAAAAAGGGGTTGCAACACTAGTGCTTACATGCCTATTTTTCGAAGACCTATTCAGTGTGTTGCAGTTATGAGGTACTCCTGTATATTTTTACTTTTCTCATAAGAAGGCTTTAGAACTAGGGTCACTTAACATGGGAACTAGGACTTAAGAGGTCAAGGTTTTCTTGTGTTGGTATTGGCTTTTACTGAAGAGTTTTGCTATCTTTATGCAAATGCTTTTCTGGTTTATTCTTGACTCCATCGGGTTAATACTTTTCTCTTGGCTTTCTCAAACATTCATGTATTACTTGACTAAATGGAGGTGCCGGTCACACTTTATCATGGAGATAAATGTGTTCTGGTAGAAGCTCTATGTGATCAGGAGCAACAGTTCAGATAACAAAAATGGAAGGACATCTTATTTCTTGGGTAATAGTCATGTTTGCAACAATATGATGATGAGGGTTACTGTGGTTTTCTGGAGTTTTTAATGAGGCATTTTTAATTTTATATTCAGCATTTAACACAGGTGGACATTCAATGTAGTAACTGCCGGTATGTTAAATTTCCCATAGCAAGTTAATACCAAAATTATTTCAGACTGCAACATAATTGTACCTGTTTCCCTGTTGTATTTATGCATTTATTGTTAATGCTTTGGTAATTCAATGGTTCGTGTCATTGTTCAAATGTATGCATTTTGTTGTATGCTGTTTTTATTTTTTATTTAACTTGGAAAAAAGGAAAGAGCTTTAATCTATTGTTGTTAAGATTGTGTTGTATTGATGTCTGCATATTTTGTGTTTTCGATGTATATTATTTCTGTCTCTTCCTCCTTTTTGTGAAGTTGAAACTACATGCTAAAGAAAGAATTACGGAAGCTGCACATGAGGATAGCAGTTTATTCGCACCTTTAGAGCAGGTACTATTTTCATTTGCTCAAATTTTTCATTGAGCATGCTGGCATGGCCTCTTTAATATGTTATAAAGTACTTTCACAATTAAATTACAATTGTGTTAATTAATTTTGCATCTATGAATCATGTATAGTTCAAAAAGTACAGACAATGCAAATATTTATTCAATAATGGTGGTAAGTCTGATTAGAAATTGTTTCACAAATTATGTAGAAACTGTGTGATGTTCTTTCTTTTTTGGAACTTATTTTTCTACTTTATGTGGAAATAGACATAATTAATTTAGGAAAATGTGCTCACCGTAAGGGTAATTTTAATGATAGAGCATACAACATACTTCCAGAAGGACAAATGGCCGGAAGGCTTTTCTCATATTTTTATATTTTTTCTTCTCTGGCAGAGCAAGTGATTGTTTTTATTCTCTGGGCAAACAGTAAAGTTGGGAAGATTGTAAAAGATAGTCTTTTGTTGTAGTCTGAGAATTAGTCTAACATTAATTAAAGTCATTGTTCATGAAGGATCCAAAATTGTTCATAGTGTTTGAACAGTATGTAAAGCAATACTTATTCAATCATTTCACCAAGATGAAGTACATTTTTATGAAAAATTAGTTTCTTTAGCAATAAATCTATGCCCATATTCCTTGTTTGTTTTATAATTGTGATGTGTGTGTTTAGGAAGACAGATGTCTCTATGTTCTAACATGAATTTATGTATTATACTAATTATGATTTTGTCTGCATTGTTTGAAAGATTTTCTGCCAATTCATGTATGCTTCATTTGTAACACTGTTTTCTGGTGTGAAGTGGCAGCACAGCTTTTACATGCCCTATACAGTTATTTAAATCAGTTTATTAGTTTGTTGAACACTTATAAAGTGATTTAAATATAATTTTATTTGAGCTTTCCCTCTTTCTGTTTTTTCTTCTATCTTCCCTCTTTTGATTGCTTTAAATTTTTCTCTCCTTATGTCTGTCCTATGTGTATTTGAGAACCTGAATCCACATTCAAATGAACATAAAACAACAAGAATAAATGTTTTGTAGTAATTAATTACTTTTGTTTATGTGTGTGTGTGTGTGTGTGTGTGTGTAAGGTTTGTTTATTGTTTGCAAATTCATCTCAACCCTTTCACATTCTAGTTTTTACAATTTAAGAAACTTCACACCAGCTCCTTTGCACTCAATATTATTAAGAAGAAAAAAATAAAATAAAATAATTAGCCTTTTTTCCACTAGCTTATTTCAAATGCTTTCTTAAAGCTACTCTTAGTTGTAGATCTTCTTATATATTTTAGTTTTTTCTGGCATATTCAGGTAACTCTTGATTTACAATTACGTTGCATTCTTGACATGCATTTGTAAATGAACAATGAAGTAAACACATTGAAATAGTTCCTATTCTTTCTTGAACCAAGGCTAAAGATATGTAACTAATGTACAGGCAAAACCTTATGTGTGTATATATATGTAAATAAAAACAAAATGCTAGGAATTTGTAAGTATAATGTCATAAAGCTTGGAGTGTGTTAAAGCAAAAATATCTAAAGCAAACATTTGTAAAACGAGAGTTACCTTCACAATTGCATTGGAATGAGGTTCTTAGAAAGTGATGTAAACACGTACCAAATATTTGTTTTCACAGAATTCCTTCTGGCTTCAAACCTATCTTTTCATTGATATGGAAGTAATTATGGTATCTAGAATAGTACTTATCAATAATACTGTAGCAAGTACTTATTTATTTCAGCTTGTTAAATTTGTAATGATATTCTTCTAAAATTATGTTGTGATTTTTTTGGTAGAAAACTAATAATCTTACTTTCAATGCTTTTAAATGTAAAACTGTAGCTGCTAATGTAATTCTTTATGTTCAATATTATAGGTGCATATAAACAATTGTCTGTGATGATAGCCTAGTGACTCTTTGGTACATATAAAGGAATAACTTTGCTTAAATATCTATTAAATTTTTTTGGAAATCTCATTTGTTCACTAAACTTCACATTTTTTTCTTGTGCATTGAAGAGAAGACTAGTTTCAATCATGAAAGAATAGGAAAACTTTTTTCTTCAGTGTGTTACATGTACCGTATAATCTCAATTGTAAGATTAGTTTTAAGGCTTATTTCCCCATAATTAATAATGAGATTTAACAAAATAATTGACAGTGAGCAATTTTTATTTGCATATCCTAATTTTATTGTTCCAACCAGAGAAAGTCTATTATTTTCTTTCAAGAGGCAAGTGGAAAGAGAATTTTCATCATCAGATTTTACAATCTACTAAGTGTATTGTGGCATGCACAATTCTCATTCACACTTTCCTGTTTGTGAATATCAAGCAAATGCCAATTAATTTTCAAACTTGATTCTAGCTTATATATTTAAAACTATGTGTAACTATTTGTGTCACTTCCAAAGTTCTCTAAGTTTCATAAATCACAGGAAATAGTATGGCAATTTTAAATTTTCCCTTATCAGAACGAGTCTTCTCTAGTGGCAGTAAAGCTCTCTATTTTCAGGACAGTAACTTTGTTAGTATTATCATTACTTAAACTAACTGTGAAATGCTTGTGTAATGTAATGTTTTGAACTACCTCTCTTGAAAATATTTCAGTCAAACATATTCAGAGGATAGTGTAATGAAAGGAAGATTTGGACATTGCTCTGTTGTTAAAATATGGCTAATATCCCAATTATTGAATGTTAAACTTAAATTTCGTCACAAAATTGTAAATTAATATTATGAGGTCTTATTCTCTCTGGCTTTTCTTTAAACTTGTGGAACTTTGTACAATCAAAATTTTAAAAATTGTTTAGAGACTATTAGATTAATCTCTGATAAATTTTCTGTAATTTTAAATGTCTTTCCTTGGGGGAAAAAAAAAAAAAAAAAAAAAAGTGGATTATCCTTTGGGAAGCACCATACATTTAATCAACATTGTGAAAAAAACAATTTTTGATAGTAATAAATCTGTTGGGATATGTGATAAAGATTAATTTTGGCATGCCAGGTACATGTGTTGGAACTAGATTTTGTTAGCTCTAAGATGTTTCGGTTATATTGATAGATTTATTTTCAAAATGAAGTTTGAGAGAAAAGGACTTGGAATGTACCTGGTTGCAATTCAATCATAATGACTTCTATTTGTTTCAATTGTGTTTTTAGAAAGTACTTTTAATATGTCAAAAGTATCTCCCCAGAATTACTATTGTTTTATGTTGGTACATCTATTGTTCAAAGCATCACACCAAAACCATAAAAACACATTTCAATAGTGAGATGAAAACCATTCTTTTTTTTCATTACATATAATGTTGGGTTCATAATCAAATGAAATGATCTGTTCTGCAAGTTCTTTATAATTTTGTGCTACTTGTTAAGCTAGTTTCGTTTTTCAAGAAGTCTCTCAGATGCCTCCGGCAGAAAAAGAATCGGTTCTTTTTAACTCTTTAAAATCACGCTCAAGAATTTCTGTAGAACCTAAAGGATAGAGAGTAGGTTTATATTTTTGCATAAATTGTTGGCTGATACATTTCAAAAAGAGTGATAATTATTTATGCTAGATTCCCTTCCTATAAATAATATTAACTGCATTTATTTATATAACAGTGGTCATTGTAACTCAAATAAACAATTAAATGCCTAAGTATTTGTTCTAAAATCCGCTTCAGATGGCACACACTTTGTCTTAGAGAGTGGTCATTATGTAAAGCAAATAAGATATTTGTATGGATTAAATTGTGAACTAAATCAGGTTCAGAATAAAATTACTTTTAATAAAAAACAGAAAACAATTTGGAAACATTTCAAAACTGAAATAATATGCAGTAAAACTTGCTCAATGTGGAATGTGTATAATGTGGAAAGCTGTGTAATGTGAATATAAATCACAGTTCAGGCAGACATAAACTCTACAGTAAGACATTGCATAATGCAGAATAAAGTCTGTATGGAAAAAAAAATATTGGTCCCATAAAATTCTGCATTGAGTAAGTTTTACTGTATTATCAAAAACCGAAAACAAATCTGAAATATTTTATTAACTGAAACCAGAACATAATTTTAAATGGTTAATGTCTTGGTACTGTTATGTAATTAGAGCACTTCTTTTGGTCAATTTGAGATACAAGTGATTTGGAAAGACTATTGATGCACGAGTGATGAAATTAGTTTGCAAATGCTTCAAAAAGCAATGCTTGAGGATTTTATTAAATTTAGAATTATCTTGTCTAGTAATGTCTGAATTATTTTACAAGATTTAAATATGATGAAATTAAATTCAAGGGGAATATACAGTCTAGTATGGGCAGTGTTTCTACAAACATGTTCGTCTAAGTGCATCAGTTTGAAAATTTGGAATTCGTAATTAAGGAATATTGAATCGTGGAAGTCTATACAAATTATGTTTCTGCAGAGGCAGCAGCTATTCATTGTAGAACCTTTTTGTGAAAGGAAGAGAACATATTAATCCCTTTTCTCTTTCTATTACGTATTGTGTAAGACATACTGAAGGAAAAGATAAATACTCTTTTCTCTTCAAGACCTTGTAGTGGACGAAATGCTAATTGCAATTGCTTATCAATAGTGGCATGATGCATGTGTATGAAGACTCTGCACAGAAAGAAAAGTCTGCCTTTGCAATTAAAAGAAATCTAAAAAATAACATTTAACTTGCTATTCACTTGCAAATCAGTATGAAATGAAAGAAGACATGATTTTTGGTAGGAAGTAACCACTGCAGGGGATTATAAAATAAAATAAGTAGATAATAATAGTAGTGACACTTGCATAAACATTGGAAGTTTTTATTATTGATTTCAGTAAGTCAGTCTCAAAATATAGAATACAGCAAAAGTTTCATCTGCCTGATTTACAGGCCTGTTTGGTGCGAAATTAAAGTTATATAAATTTTGTGTTTTTTTAACATTGAGGAGATAATAAAAAATTCATATGAAATAAAATTTACAATATTCAAAAAAACTATTTGTGGACCCAAGGTGACAGATTTTTTTGTTTATCTTAATTTATACATCACATTCCTTAACTTGTAATCATCACATCTGTAGTAACCATGATATGCACACTTACTTACTTACTTACTTATCAGCTGATAATCTTTCAAGTAATCTCAATAGTTCATTTCGTTCATTTTTAAATGTGTCATCTATTGTTTTAGCTTACTATACAAGCAAAAAAAGCTGCTGAAGAAGCATCCAAGTCAATGCATGAAGCCTCAAAAACTGCTTTAGAAGCTAGCAAAACAGCAGCAGGTGTGAGCAAAAACACATTTGAAGATTTAACTTATGTGGGCAAGAGCACATTTGGAGATTTAACAAAGAGTGCCAAGGAAGTGGCTACAAAGAAAGGTCTATTGAAGGTAAAAATTATTTTGCTAAAGAATAGTTTAGATACCTACTTACATACTATTAAAAATAAACTTCTTCAGCTTCATTATTTTGAAGTTTGCAAAAATGTTCTTCTGATATGGCTGTGCCAAAAGCTGTCTCGAATCTAAGGCAACGGCAAAGGTTATGATTTCGGAGACTGTTCAATGAGAACCTTCTTCTCAATGAATTCTTGTCTCAACCATGAAATGCATTTATCATTGGAAAAATGGGAGGGGTGAAGGATAAATTGATGGTGATTATAAAATAAAATAAGTAATAGTATTGCCACTTGCATATGAATTATTGGAAACAATTCTCCTTAGGTGGCTGGTCAGAAGTTACTATCTGTCCCTCAGCTGTTACCTTAATCCCGAATGGCAATCACAATTCAATGGGAAAAAGACATAAAAAACTGTACATCGTTCTGATATGTAGTTTATGAAAGTGAGCAATCTTACAGACTTGGTGTGTTTCATGAGAACACCCTCTCCAAGGACCTAGATCTACATATCTTAATTTTGTCTGAAATACTACTACAGTTTCTTCACAATTGAGTGTATGTTCTCATTTTAGTATGATTTCAGATTCAATTAAACAAAAAAAATATTACAAGCCAAACAACACACTATTATAGCTCCATTCATGGTAACTTTACAAGGAATTGAATCATCTTGGTTTTGTATGAAACTTAGTCTACCGTAGCTTCTTCATTATTATTCCTACTGTCATCATGTGTTTGTTCAAATGTTTCTTTTTATCATTTCCTAGGTGGGATAGCAAGTTGGTCAGAGGTTTCTGTCTGATCCCCAGCCATTACCTTACCCTCAAATCGAAATGTTAATTCCAAATCTAGGGAAAGTAATTACATAAGAAAAAATGTACGTAATTCTGATGCATGATCTGATATGTAAAAGTGAACAATCTTTTTTTCAGGCATTGGGTGATTCACGAGAACACCCTCACCAAGGACCTGGACCTCATCATCCCCATCCTCACATGCAGCAGACACCACAGCAACAGACTATGCAGCAACGTGTGCCAGCACAACATGCTTCATATGTACAGCCTTCACACAGTCAACCACCTGCCCACATACCTCCAGCACATGGACATGCAGGCGCACCGATGTCATTAGCTCCTGGTCCTAGTTCATCATTGGTGCAGACTGACCTGAGTCGAGCAGCAGGCCGTGATTTACTTGGTGCAAGTTCTAGAGAATTCTTTTCTAATATGAGTTCGGAATTGAATGGCATTGCAGCACAGACGTCTAGTATGTTCAGTGGCATATTTGGTTAGTACATTTCATATCCTTCACAAGTTTCTGTGAATTTCATAAGAATACATTAAAGGAGTAAACATTTTATTTTACTCTTTCTTATTTTTGATGTTTCAAATTGAAGTGTGAAACATGTGCTCTTTTGCATAACTTTTTTTATTGTATTACCTGCTGGAGAGTTATGTATTGTATTTTTAACTATTAATTTATTATTATTATAATTTTTAATATCATTTCTTCTTGTTCTTCTTCTTGTTTCCTTTGAGCAAGTTTACTAATTTTTTTAATTTATACTTATAAGTTTTATTATACATTAATAACTAATAATTGTATTATTATATCTTCAATTCATTTCAGGAAGTAAGAGTGGTACCAGTCCTCGTAGTGCAAGTCCCAGTACAACAGCATCAGCTCCAAAACCTAAAGAGAAAGCACAGCCATTTGGACCTTTTCCCAAAGGTCAGATTTCTGACACTGAGTACATTACTTTTATTTTAATAATTGAAAGAATAGTTCCTAAAATGAGCATTTATTTTTTGAATAGGTCGTAAAGGCTTAGTGGAAAAGTCTTCCTTGATTCGTCATACTACCAGCAAGAGTAGACAAGAAGAATTGCAGAGAATGCAGAGTGCTGAAAGATCATCCACCAATTCTGAAAATCAGGCATTTTTGAAGGATGTTGTAAGCCAAGTATTGGAAGGAGAAGGAGTGGGTTGGTTAAAGTTAAATCGTTTGAAAAAACTAATGGAGGATGAAAGCTATCGAAACTTTGTTGTTAGCAAATTAAACAGGACTCTTGAGAGGAAAATTAGTCCTGATGATCACATTGATGATGTGGTATGTCTGTCATTATTATTTAAATTTTATTAAAATGTTTTGCATTCTAATATTTCTTTGATTTTTAAAAATTTTTCAAAGGCTAGTGTTTATTATATTAATCGTCTATTGTTGATTATTTGAGTTATTTTGCTGGCATTCAGTTTTTATCTCATGGTATGGATTTTCTCATGTACATGGACTGATAAAATAATATTTGCTCTGCTGCATATACCTGTGACTGATAAAACTTTGCTCTGCTGCATCATTTGAAACATTCATATAACCACTTATCTAATTATTATTAGATATTTATAATGAACTGTGAATTGCAAAACATTGCTTTCTAATACATCATTCCTGAGTGTAATGTGAATTTTAATAAAGCAAATAATATAATTATGGTGACATATGGTTGCCCTTTTTCCAGTGTGTCAGTCGAGCTGTTTGGAAAGGTATGCTGAAAACATTGCAAGCAGTGGTGTATGGTCTTGAACAAACATATTCCAATTTTGGATTAGGTGGTATGGCATCTGCGTTTCAAGTACTTGAGATTGCTCATACCCATTATTGGACAAAAGATTTGACTGAAGCTCAGGGTTTAGATTTAGGAGGAAGTGGTACAGCAATGCTTTCTCAGGTAAATGAGGCTTTTTTAATACATTTTTTATGTTATTTCATCATAATCAGTGAATCTGCATTGAAATTGTAAATTTGCAGGCATCTAGTCCATTTGGTAGCCATGAAAATTTGAAGTCACCACAAAGTCCTCATGGTTCTCCATTGCCAGTACATTCAGATTTTTATTCAGATGTTTCTCGAAAGTCGTCTCAGAGTGGAGTGTACGGTAAGATTTTATTAGTTGGTGTATGGTGAGTTATTCTATAAAAAACAAAAATTGTTACTCCTGCTAAATTTCAAAACAGAACCAGGGAGGAGATCCAGCTTCTTCCCTCATTCCTAACAAGTATTATATTTTCTCTTAATTGAGCCAATTAAAGCATAAAAATGAATATTTTAAGTTATTAATGTAATTTCCCTTGACATTTATGTATTCCTCCCTGTGTGTACTCTGCTTTTAATTCAGTAGAAACATTTTTGTTTGTGGTATTTCCATCCTGTCATGTCTTCATTGATAGTTTTCTATTAATCTCTTATTAACGATCTATGGGAGAGAAGAGGAAAACAATAACAATATATTACAGTAAAATAAGAAAATTGGATTGCAATGAAAATAAAAATTAATTATAGTGACAGATTTTAAATAGTAGTAAAGAGGATTTGGAAATTTCTGTAGTAAATCCAAGTAGTGATGATGTGGCTGTCTGGGGGTCACCGCATTGAAGGCTGAGGTGTTGACGTTTCGACCAACATATCTTGGTCTTCTTCAGGGCTGTTGCTGTAAGGAACTACAGATCTGAAGAAGACCAAGATATGTTGGTCAAAAAAATGGCCTTTAATGCTTCGTTACCTGGACAGCCCACCCAGGTCATGACTCTGGCCGTGGAAGCCTACCACGGCCTGGAGATCATCCAAGTAGTGAATCAAAGTTTTGGGTTATAAACAGATTAATTTTCCTAGTGAAAATATAGTCTGTAGAAAATGAGTTATAAAGGCATGTATTACAGTAAATGATTTCACTACAATGTGAAGAACTATATGACCTTGATGACTAGCTCTTAGTGTTGTACTGTACAGTAATTACAATACAATGTGTCTTTTAGTTTGAAGTATCAACACATTTCAATAAAGATGTTCTCTTTTTAGAAATATAAAGTCCATTTGTGCCTTCCTTTTAAATTTAGATTCTCCTCCAATGGTGAGACTCGTTCATGATCCTTTACAAGGGGCAACGAGTGAGGAAGTTGGAGACAGCCCATCTGCTGCAGATATGCTGCGGGATCTTCTGAACCAGAAACGTCACATGCTTTTGTCAAAACTCACCTCTATTGATTCGGAGGTAGGATATTCTTCTTATAAACTGGATTATTACATAAAACAAAAATTGTATTTAATTTTCAGTCACTGCAATTCATATTTAGATATGTTAATGAAATATTTTTTTTGTAATTCAATATCTTCAGTAATTAATGTAATTGGTTGCTATTAAATTGTCAAGTACAGGTTATAATGTGATAATGAAACCTAGGCATATATTTGAATACCAAAAAGCAACTTTTGTAGAGTTTTGACCTAAAAAAATAGGATCTTACATTTGCAGCTAGTAAATAGTTATTTGAAATATGTGTATGTAGATTATTTATTACTGTTGTCAAAACACATTGAAATATTAGTAAATGAATGAATGTTGTTGAATGAACCATCTGTTCCTTGTGCCTGCTGTCTTCCTTTTTTCCTTTTATGCAGATTAAATCAAATGTTGTTCAATTTTGATGGTGCTATAAAATGTTGTTATTGTATCCCATTAATGGAATGAGTATATTTTAAGAAGCATGCAGTGTGCTTTGTTTTTGGAAATCAATGTTTGTATTTATATTGGTGTTGTCTTTTCAGCATGATTGTCAAAAGTTCCTCTCAGCCAATTTATTTATTCCATGATATAATGAAGACATTGGATACTTATTTATTTTGAACTACATAATATTTGATGTTAAAAAACAAACTCTTATTCAGTAGTCAGAGTCGGCACATTTTAAAGTAATAATTTCAACTACTGTGTTTTTTCTGTATAAATGATCCAAGACTTGGACTCTATTGCCTTATATTGATCCTTAGAGATGGTTATAATTTGTTTCACTATTGTTTCAAGATACGATCAGCCCTTCTCAATCCGTTTCATGCATTCTTCTCATTCATTCATGTAATATTATGTTGTAGAATAAAGTAGTCATTAATAATTATACTAGCCATGTTTAGGAAAGTGTTTTGCACTTCTATTTATATGCTATATATGTTTTTAATGTTGATGGTACACTCCACTGAGCCATGCTGTTACACACAAGGCACTTAAAACTACTGCATGTTCCCAGGTGTGATTTGAACATTAGGCAGATTTTAAAAGAAAAATATTTCGTTTTGGTGTTTTTGTTGTTTATTTGTTCATTGTTTCTTGCTCTTAACATGGAGTGCTTGTAAAGTGTCTCTAAGCTGCAAATTAAGAAGATGAGTGACAACATATTTATTCTTGATTTTTAATGTGGATCCCTAACTTCTGTTAAATGTGTTGCTATTTAGCATTAATTTTTTTGTTATTTATTATTTGATTTTGTTCCATTTTTGCTTCTTTGCCCTTTTGTTTTTTAGGGTGGGACTGAGAATACTTTACACGGCTCAACCGAGGGTGTCGCTTCTTGCAATGCTTCTGATGCGGGCAGCATCATCACAAACCCGGCGTTCACAAGACAAAGGGCCGGGCACCAGGCTTCATTCCGTAGTACTGTGTCCGATAGTGAAATAGAGCAAGGCAATGTGAGTGTCTCTATCTCTCTTTCTGTCTTTGTGTTTCATTTTTGGCTATCCCAAATGTCTATCTGTATGGCTGGAACCAGACCGATCTTAATGCGTCTGCCCTTGGTAACATTGTATCCATTACTGAGGTGGGTTGGATGTGTCTCATCTGTACATACTCTCTTCTATCAATGTTTATGTAATGAAGCATTACTTTATTTTACTTGTCTTGGAACTACAGATTATGAAAAGCCTTGCATCTTTACGTAGTTTTCTATTTTAAGTTGGAATCATCCAGCTTGGATCTAGTTTAAAAGTTGTTAATGTGTCCTGAATTAACGGGTTGTGATTTGATTTTCCTTTCCAGATGTATATTGGGAACAATGTAATACACATAGTTCATATAATACTGAAGCACTTTCTTATTTGCACATTATGGGAACTAACTTTGTCGTAGTTAGAAACTGTTGCTTCATCTTTGTAGAATAAAGCTTTGCTATCAGCACATTTCTGTAATTGCTTTAGTTTTGCATGAGCATGATAATACATGAATCATGGTTTTTTTGTTAGTGATATAATTGATTTAATCAAAGTCAACTACAAAGGAACTTTCTTGACAGCTGATGCTACTCCTCTTTTAAGGAAAAATTAGAAGTTGGTAAAGAAATATTAAATAAATATTGTGTTTTGTGTACATTAATTCTTTGTAGTTACCTGAAGCAAGTTCCCAATTGAAAATTGATATGAAGTCAGTCATTCATAGTTCATTGATTAGCTTATAGAATTGAATTCAATGTTTTTGTAATTGTAATTGTTAACTCACTGAAGTTTTAGTGTTGTTTCAATAAAATTGTATTTTTAGTTAGCTCTAATAAGCTGGTTTGACAAAACACCTGAGAAAGTTCTGCAGCTGAGGTACTCAGATCTACTATTAGATAGTATTTTTATTCTGAAAGTGGATGTAAAATAAGGAGGGAGTAATAGCTGAAATAATGATGACGATATGCTGTATTATTTTTAAATATTGATGTAATTAAGATATGATGAAATGCAAGAAAGAGGAAATGAGAGTACTCTGAGGAAACTTGCCATGATACGATTTTATCCACCACAAATTCTATATGGAATGATTGGGATATGAATCCCGGTACCCAGAGGTGGAAGCTGAGTGGTCTGACTTCTACACCATCAACTTTCCCCTATTCTTCAATTAATTTTAATATGGTTAAAGAGTTGGAAAGGAACGTGTTACACATGTGTTACCCAGACTTGTGGACATCCAACTGTATCTTGTGTAAAGTTGAGTATTGTTTTGAGGCTTGTGGCAGGTGATCAATTGTAATGAAATCATTTCCAACCTGAAAGCAAAAAATAAATCTAGTAATGGAAATGTCCAGGAAAAGCAGCTTGGCTCAGAGTAGTGCTTTTGCACTACTCTGCTAGTGATCTTTTTTCTTGACCATTGAGGATTCTACTGATTGATGTCCTCTCACCTGGAGCAGCTGTCATAGTCACCATTTACTGCTGTTCCCTGAAGCATTGCTACAATGAAATCTGGTCAGAAAAGCCTACTTGCTTTCTTCTGATGATTCTGCTTCATGACAATGTATGATCCCAAATGACAGTGGAAACCCTGATCGTGGTTTGAATGGACTATGTTCAAGGATCTCCCCTCAGACCTGACTTGTCATCAAGTGACTTTCATGTTTTTCCCTGGGAACCACAGGAATTTTAAAAACAGGAAATTTAACACTTGGTCAAGCAATAGAACAAGAGCCTGTATAACCAGGGAAATTATGTTTAAATAAACTGATTCATACTATTTTCTTAGCACTGTTCCATTCTCATTTTATCCACCCATAAGTAAGCTTTAAAAAATACATGAAATATTTAAAAATAGCAATTAAGATAATTGTTGTTTTTTTTATAAAGAAATTACTTTTGAGATTTTTTGTCAATATTATTGTATAGGAGGTATGTCAAAGATGGCAAGATAGTTCAAGAATGAGAAGGAGAAAAGTAAAAGTGTAAGAAGAGAAGAAAGAGCAAAAAATTAATGAGGAAATGTAGGAGGAAATAACGAGAATAAAAATCAAGCAAAAGGAAGAAATGAAAAGAGAAGGATAAGAAAATTAAATGAATGGCTATGGAAGTTTTAAGTAGGGAAAATATGCTTTCTTTGTGTTGATATTAACTAGTGCTTGAAATGCATACACTAGTGATATATAAAATTCAAGAAGTGTGCTTAATGGTTTTTACAATTTACTATCTCAGCAGGTCATCAAACACTTACAAATTATTAAAAATAAAACACAAATATCTTTTTGTTTCTTAGCATTAAGAATGTTTTTTGTCAAAAAGTCGTTTTTTTCAACCACGATGTTTCACATGTTGGTTACATGCATCTTCAGGTGTGTGCATTCAATAAAAAAAAAAAGACAGGTTTGCAACTGAAAATAAAAAATTACAAACAAATTTTTTGAAGATGTTGAATAAAAAATCTAAAATAAAAGAAATACAGAATGAAAATATTAAACAATCAAGTATAAATGAAAAAATATATAAGTAGTATGTACAAAATATATTGGAGAAAATTTACTAAAACTTGTTTAATTATGCACTTATTATATTATTATAAAACATCATAAAAATGTTTTTAAAAAAGGGTAATTCCAATCTCAATCTGTTCCTTCCTCCTTCCTCTCCTGATTATTTTTACTTTCATTGTGGTACATTCAAAATAATGTCTATTTTTATGTTAGACTGCTCACTCTCTGCCCAGACTTGATTCTCTCTATACAGTGAAGATGTATGATTTTATAATGGGAATTTTTCTCCTTTTTGAGATTGAAATTTCCCTTTTTTAAAAACACTTGAATGATTTTTTATAATTTTATAATATGTGCATAATTAGACATGTTTTGGTAAGTTCCCTGCCGCCTTTTTTATATTTTGTACTTTAACTTATATATTTTTTCACTGGTACTTATTGTATAATAATTTTCATTCTTTGTTTTTCTTTGTAACTTTTATTTTAGATTTTTCATTCAATGTCTTCAAAAATTTTGTTTGTGATTTTTTTAAAGATGTAAACCTGTGTATTATTTTTATCAAATGTACACAACTGAAGATCTGTGTAACCAACACACTAAACATCGCTGTTCAAAAATAGACTATTTTTGACAAAAAGCATTCTTAATAATTGTCAAAAAATGAAAATATATTTGTGTTTTATTATTAATATTATGGTGACAATCATAATCACATAAAATTTTATCTACTTAAAAAGTATGGTGGAACTTGTAGGGTAAAAAAATAAATGTCATGTTATTGAATGACTTAAAACAGAATTATTTGTTTTCTTTCTTTTTGGTTGTTTTTTTTGCCTATTTCCCAACTTTTAATTTCATAATATAGCTATATTTCATTTTTTTAAATAAAGAGAATGTTTAAAGTTTAAATTTGGAAATTATGAACTGCTAAATGTGCATGAAGTACTGCTGAGCATGCACTTCAGAATATATAAGTTAGACATTTCTTTATATTTTGGAGTTGCTGTCTAAAATAGTATGTTTCAAATAATCTTTGTAACAGTTAATTTTGTGATGCTTATGCAGAATGTACTCAGTAGATTGTGAACTAGCAATTTTCTGATATTGTGGTCTGAAGGTTCTTGTATACTCTATCTAATTTATTATTAATTATAAATTTTATTTCTGAAATTTTAGTTGATTAATTTGAAAAAACTAATAAAACATGTGTGCTTATGAACAGTTCCCACGTCAACCAAAACAACGCACTCCAAGTGTGTGGTCCAGCAAATCATCATTAAGCACTGGATTTCGTTACCATGGTGGTAATATGATCAATACATCAACAACACCTAGTCCTGATACTGGTCGAACATATTTATTTGAAGGTACTGGCTTGTCACTGCATATTTTGTTTTTATTCATCAGTGGATGTAGGTAATTGAATGATTTCTTGTTAGGCCTCATTGGAAAAGAAAGATCTACATTATGGGATCAAATGCAATTCTGGGAAGATGCTTTTCTTGATGCAGTTTCTCAAGAGCGTGACATGGTGGGAATGGATCAAGGACCAGGAGAAATGATGGAAAGGTTAGTTTCCTTTTTTCAGAATTATTGTGGGAAATAAATTTTCGATGTTTGTGACATTTGCAAAATTAGATATTCTTTTTTGATATTAAAATAGAGGTTACGAGAATTTTATTTTATCAGAATTATTGTACCCAGTTAAGAGGTTCAGAGAAGGTATCATACTAACTTCTGCCACTTACCTTCTAGATACAATTCATTGAGTGACACAGAACGTAAAAGGCTTGAGCATGATGAAGACCGTCTTCTATCTACAATGCTCTACAATTTAGTGGCTATTATGGTGATGATGAATGTAAATAAATTGGAAGTAAAGCGGAAAGTGCGGCGACTACTTGGCAAAAGTCATATTGGATTGGTATACAGTCAGGAAGTTAATCAGTTGTTGGACCAGATAAACAATTTGGTAAGCATATTTTGTTATTTACTCTTATTAAGCATTTCATTTGTTGTAACTAACAAAATGTAGCTTCTGTTTTCTTCTTATTTGTCCTTTTGCAGGTAACATTGCCTGTACAATATTTTAGTTTTGGCAAAATGACTTCGTAGAAAACTTAATTTTAAATTTTCGTTGCATTTTCTCCACTAAAGAAATGATAAAGTGTTCTCTCTCAAATAAAATATTGTGTCTTGTAATAAGTGTTTGATATTATCAATTGCAATAAAATTATTTTAATTTTTCAGCATGGAAATGATATAGACTTGAAGCCTCTTGGTTCAAGACAAATGCATCGTCAGAGCTTCACTGTCCATGCAGGTGTGGATCCTTCTGGTGATTTGCTTTTTCTTGAGGTGCGAGAAGATGGACTTGTGCTCAGATCTGTGAATGGCACTATTGTTGAACGATGGTGGTTTGAGCGATTGGTCAATATGACATACAGCCCAAAGAACAAAGTTTTGTGCCTGTGGAGGAGAAATGGAGGCCAAACACAGCTACATAAATACTACACTAAGAAGGTAAGTACAATTTATTATAATCTATATCAGCATAGAAGACAAACTATTATGGTAATTGAACAGATTTTGAAGGACACACATTACAGTAAATTGTAAAATATCTTGAAGTAAATAATAGATGTTTTAAATTTTGATCCACTAAAGATCAAATATATATATATATATGTATATATGTATATATGTATATATGTATATATGTATATATGTATATATGTATATATGTATTATTATTGTTCTTAGTATATGTGTAGAATTTGATGATCCCTCTTGAAAGTGAAGAGTAGATGAATGACTCAATGTGCTGTTGCAGTGCAAGGACCTCTACTATTGTATCAAGGAGGCCATGGAGCGTGCAGCAAGTAGAGGTAGTGGCCCATTGGCAGGAGTAGAGCTTGGTGGCGAGTTTCCTGTACAGGACATGAAGACAGGGGAGGGGGGATTGCTGCAAGTGTGCATGGAGGGTGTCGGCCTACTCTTTGCCAACAGCAAGGTATATTTCGTGTTTCATTATTCAGTTGCAAATGTAAAATAAGGCAATTTAGAATTTCACTTAAATGTATAATTATGTGAACTTCAATGGCTATTGGACATTGTTTAAATATTTACTTAAATATGACAAATCTTTTTTGTTGTAATCTGTATGATGTACAGTGTGATCATTCAGAGAAAATACGAGATAAAATGAATAGTCACTGTAGTTCTTGTAATTATAATTTAAGTTTTAATTGAAGAAGGAAAAAAAGCTGAAGTTGATCAGATGTGCCATCACTTGCCAAACTTTTGTGATTTGAAAATATATTCACATTGTTTGCTGTTGTTTTTCACTATTTTGTGTTTCTGTGTAAGGCAAACTACTCAGCTTTAGTGGGTGGTTAGTTTTGCATGGAGAGGCTTATTTTGAATCGTTTTGTTTTTTATTACAAGAATTTTGAAAAAGAAGCATTACATCTCTTCAGCTCTTCTTCCCTTTATGTTCCTCTGTGGATTTCTCCCAGAAGACAGATAATTGAAGTATGAACCTGTGAGCCATAATTTAGCCCAGGGGTTGAAATCCAGCCCACCAGAACCCTTTGTAATGTGTGGATATTACATGATTTTACCAGGAGAACATTTGAAATTGCTGTTGATGGAATGTCCCTTAAAACCAGAGGCCTGAAAGGTATTTTTGCCTATCAGTGATTGCAGTTTCATTATTTTGCCCCGACTTTAATGCTCGAGTCATTAGTCAAATTCCTCTTTGTTTTATTTCTGAAAGATTTATGTCGGCATTTTTTTTATCTTTGCATTGGTAAATAACTGCATCTTGTTTTGGCCATGAGAATGCATGCATGAGGGCAGCCACAAGATTCCAAGGGCCACCATTTGTATACTTTAAGATGTGCATTAGCAAGTAAATTTTATGAATACATTATAATTAATTTATGAGTGTAATAACTTTGAATAGTTTTACAACTTTTTCAATTTTTTTTTTTTTTTTTTTTTTTTTTTTTTTTTTTTTTTTTTTTTTTTTTTTTTTTGAGGAAAAATATATGTGCCTTGTATTGCATTTTATGACTTTAAACGTATATCGTTCTAGGTTCAAGCTGCTATAACACATTCCACTCCTGGTGAAAACTCCAACACTTCTTAGCCATTCTGAGCAGTTTCTTCAGACCCATCATACTTAACTGTGTTCTGTGCCATTTCAAGAATTTAATGAGTTTTTCACAACATTGTACTTAAAATTTTGTTGCTTCTGGTTTATTCTTGCTAATCCCATGTATACTTATGTTGTCAAAATATGGACTTACAACAGCAAAATTCAAATGTTTTTTTGTGTATTGATCCTTTACTCAAGAATAAACATTGGAAATTACATTGCTTTTTGTTAAGCCACAACTACACAATTGTTATTCTTTCAAGATATTTACTCTGCTTAATTTCACTGATTATGGGAGTCAGCATGGTGAGAAGCAACATATCAGTCATCCTTGGGACCTATACTGCATGGTGTTCTCAATTGCAGATATTAGAGAGTCCTTATCTGTTGAGGCTCTGTTGACATCCTGCATGCAGTCTCCATATTCAATTTTGTGAATGAATAAACATGGGCTTCTGTTACCTTTGGAACCTTGCAGGTTTGATTAATTCACAAACCAAGTATTTTGATGTGGATGTCATTACATAGCCTCACAATGTCATGCGTAGCCCCAGCTGTGGTTTTGCCCTTGTGTGCGGCAGCAGTCCCTAGGGTCAGCTAGCGCTCCCCTACACTTGGTTGGTTGTGTGGGCTCTGTGGGCTGCCCTACCCCCTGCCTGTCAGGTTTGGGCTCCATTTGAGCCTCTGGGCTCGGTTTTGTGTGCAAGTTGATAAACTGGTTACCACTAAGAGAGTGATATCAGCCACTGCTGCTGTATATTGTTTCAAGTCCTTGTAGTGACCTGGTGGAGCAGTGATGTGTAATATTGCACACAAAGTCTTATCCAAGGCTCTGGTTCAGTGCTTTTCTTTCTCTCTCTGTCTCTCTGTATTTTAACTTAACTGCCTCATATGTATGCTGGACTGGACTGTTGGATGTTTTATATTACTTGGATGTTATATACAATTGCAAGGACCTCTCAAAAATTTCCTGCTACTGCTATTATAATATTACTATTTTTTTAATATTACTATTATTATCATCATCACCATCACTATTTATTGATCAATGTGAATTATATTAACAACTTATTTTCCCAAACCTCCCTCACCAGCCAATTTCAGAATTTTTTTGTCTTTTTAATCAATTTACTTTGTTCTAACAAATCCAAAAAAGATTTTGCAGTGACAATTTTTTCCGGGATCTGATATTTCTCAGCCCATTAATGGGAAGGTAGTAGTTTTAATTTATTGATATAGTTCTGTATATATTATTTTAAAAAGAGATTTTATTTTATTTCATGATATTATTCCTTTTATTTTGTTTATTCAGTGTTTTTACTATGCATGCTATTTCACTATTGATCTTCTAAGCTCCGTGTCATGACAAAGTCTGTAAATGAAGCTCTTATTCTTCTTCTATTTTTGGATATATTATATACATACATTTTATTTTTTCAATATTTTCTTTTCTAAATATTTATTTAAATTTATATTATTGATTTCTTTGAATGTCGTATGTCCATTTCTCTCTCTTTCTTTCCTTGTGTCTTTCTTTCTTGTGAGTGGAAAACTTATTTATATACATTACATATTTTTTAAAAAGAAAGAAAGCTTAGGAACTTTTGAGATGGTCCTTGAATACAAAAGATATGAAAGTATCAAAAATACAGAATTAGGACAGTACTCTGAAGAAGATAAACTTTTTTTTTTCTCCTGGAACTCTTAAAAGAAACTTGGTGGGTACAAAATACATTTATATGAATATGTCTTAATTGATTTTTAATTTTTTTTTATGTCCCTTATCATCTTTACACGCATCCAATCGTGATGCCAGGATTTTGAGGTATTTTAAAAGTGTTGACGTCTCACACATTGTGTTCGTTGACCTGCTTCAGTTCTGCGAGTCTGCTCTCTCTCTTCGTAGAGTAATTGCAGTAATGACAAAATGAAAACGTTTTTCCATGTAGATTTGATGTTTTTTGTTTACTATATTTATTCCTTTAATTTTTAAAATAGAAAGCATTATTTTTAGAAATACACTTATTTTTAACACTGTATTAGCTACTTGATGAATTAAAGTTCACAGCATGGCACACTTAAACTTTGTTTTATTGAGAAATATGCACTACTTAGCTATACAGTATCTGTATCTTGATTAAAGTCATAGTATTTAAAAATAACAATAAAGAATAATAACTTATTGACTGACCATCTCTTAAGTTTCCTATGCCGCTCTTCATAGTTTGTGTAGTGTGTATTTTCGTGAGATGCTCAGGATTTCAGTAATTTAAAGTTCATGAATTTGTGTTTGTTTGCCACATGAAATGCTGCTTGCATTTCCAGATCTTATATTGCTTTAAAAAGAACACTGGCATGGAAAATTACAAATAATAGTTGCATGGATTGCCTATGCTTTTGAATCACGTATTTTGAACTCGACCTACATTTTCATGTATTGCAGTAGTTAGTATAACACGTGCTCTTCCCTCATTTTAGAAATAATAATTGATTTCCAAATTCCTTTTTTTCTTTCCCTCTCTTTTTTAGAGCTTATTCTGCTGCCAAAAATTACAGTACCAGATGTTCCTGAATTACACTGGAGATGATAATTGTACTTTCAAAATATTTTATCATGTGAAGCATATACCTATATTTTTTTGATGAACATGTCACATTGTCTCGAGATTAAAATATTAAGTTTTGAAATCTCTTATATTTCCTCGAAAGTATTCTTGGTATTTAATACTTCTTAACATGGGATGGTCAGTACATTACATTCAGGTTCTAATTTTCATCAGTTTAAGTGCCATGATCGAACTCACTGTTAAATATCTTTAATAAAACAACAACAGTAATAGTAATAGTAATAGTAATAATAATAAGAAGAATAACAATAATAGTAATAATAATTACAATAATAGTAATAATAGTAATAATAATAATAATAATAATAATAATAATAATAATAATAATAATAATAACAACAATGCTAATTAGAATTTATTATTTTTTTGCATGGCATGAAATATTACATTATTATAGCTTCTTATAAATGTGTCTTTCACTGCACTTTTTATGCATATAGTAGTCCTATGAAATGCAGTTAAGACAAGTAGGTAATTGAAAAGTGAAGTGATCTGAGGATAAAGAATCTCATGATTGTGTAACGTGCATTTTGAATCAGAATTAACTGATAGTTGTAGTGCAACTGTGTATTTGTCATGAATGAAATAAACTTCAAGATTATTATTTTTATTGTACTAACCAACATGTTCAGAGCTTTGATCTGTTGCCCTTGGCTGGAAATTGTGAGTCTGCGTATATGAATGTGTGAATGTATGTGTGTATATGTGTGTTCCATACCCTGATTTGCCATGTTTTGGCAGTCAGAGTTATGTTTAATATAGCATGCTTTGCCATGTATCTTATGCCACCATCAAGGGCTTTGAATTGATCACTTCCCTTTAGAATATTGCAACATAATAAAGTTGATACTGCAAAACTTAATAAGAATTCGCATGGCTCAGCATAAGGCCAGTGTTTCTTGGTTAATGATAATAATCTCTTGTGTTGAAATGACTGAATTGGTGTGAAAATGTGAGATACATTTGTTTTCAACCAAAAAGCACTGACTTTGTATCAAAAAAGTATTGTAATAATTGTGAAAATATAAAAGCATTATCATTTCAATGACTGTGTAATTCATATATGAAAACTTAATGAAAACCTTTGAGATCCCCAATATTCCCATTTTAGGATATTTTTAAATGGTCAGTATAAAACTATTTACATTTGTATTCTGTGAAGATATTTGTATCAAATACTTCTGTGAAATTTCAGACTAGCTTTGTAACAGTTATCATATATGACAATTACACATTTAATTTATGCATAGGCCTGTGTGTGTATGTAGTAATGCATAATAATAGAACAGGTGTTTCAGAAACTGAAAGCTCAGATAGATAGGTTTTTAATGTAGACATATGTTAATGAATGAAATATCTTTAGAAATCAAAAGTACAACTTATTGCAGAGCAACAAAACAAGGACATATATAATGTTTCCCTTTTTAGCTTAACTCTGTCAGTTCCATCTGCTTTTCATCTTGAGCTGTAGGGAAGCTTACGCTATTGAAACTAAAGATGTACAAGTTATATTATATGTTCCTTGTTTTGTTTGCCCTGAGAATCTCAGATCTACGTAACTTGTGTTCTGTGTTTACAGTTCTTTGTCCGCCTGGACCATATACGAAAGTGCTTCACTCAGAAAGGAGGAATTTTTGTACTAGAGGAATACAGTAAGTAATATGTAATTATATTTAACTCTTAAAAACGAATGGTTTTGGTGTTTTTGTTATCATTTAATGACTTCTGTTCTTTCTCACGCATTTTCTTGATAGTTATACCATTCATGATTTACTGTTTTGCAGATCCTAAGACACGGCAAGTTATACAACGAAAGTATAAGTCATCAATGGTAAGTGTTTTCTTCATGCGTAATTTTTCTTTGATCTATTTGTGTTGTACATGTATATGTAAACAAGCAATATTAGTGAATTTTCTCAACAGAACAGTTTGTTAAGTGTACCTTTCTGATTATCTTGTGTGTCTTTTACTTTTATTTACCTTATATGTTTTGTTAATTTTTAGGCTAGTTTCTTGAACCTGGCTATGCACCGAGTGATTTCTGTAAACATTGCTCAGCAGTTATCAGTTTTGGAACGTCCTGCTGCCTGATGTGCATGTCACATTCTGCCTGTACATTAGTAAGCTTGTTTTTGTGTTTATTTTGGTTTATTGTATATTACTATTATTTTCAAGTGTTCTGATATCTATTTTGTGATTCATTTTCTTACTTATTTTTCAAGAGCTGTTCATTGTTGTTGTGTTTGTTGTTGTTGTTGTTGTTGTTGTTGTTGTTTTTGGTTGAATATATTTGTGGAATGTTTTTGTCAATGTATACAGCAACATTAATTACTCGCAATTACAAACATTTAATATATTATTCTCATATTATTTTCTGCTGAAATTTCTGAGAGACAATGTGCTATGAGATCTATTGCATCCATCAGAATTGTCAATTTTTTATATTATTCCATTGCATTATTGATTATTGTGATTAATTTGTGTGTTTCATGCCAAAATAATATCTTCCTTACTTGTCATTGACAAAAATTTACATTGAACTGTGAGTAGTGTGTGCATGTTTGATATTCTCGTTGATAATTTTGTGTCCAAGATACTTTTGTTCATGAATTTAAGTTGATAATTGGCATGCATGAGATCTACACTCTAACAATTTTGCTGGACTGGATGATACTGTTTTTAGAGCGACTAGGGATGACACTTAATAGACTCATAGAACAAATATAATCCAAATTGTTACTGTGATGAAATATATTTCGATTCTTTTTTGTTGTTATTAAGTCATTATTGTTATTCATCCATAACAATATATCATTTAACATGACTGATATTACAATTTTGCTTCTAATGTGGAATGTGAACTATTACTGCATCTTTTAACATTTGCTTAATTGTTGTTTTTCATACTATTTACTAGAGAGCAAATGCAAATGCCTTTGTTTTATTGTCAAGAAATCTCCGGAGTACAGTTTTGCAGATGCTTGCATTATCTAAACAATTGAAAGGATACATTAGACCCAAAAGTACATTCGTGAAGTTAAGTCTTATGCATGTATTTGTAGGTATCTATTTTTTCTTTCTCTTCATTTATTTGAAAAACTCTCTGAAGGCAAATGAGGGATTTTGAAATAGTTTTCATATTTCCTTATTCTAATACGGAAGGGAAGCAATATATTATAATAATTCAAATGAATAATAATTGAAAATAACGGGATTGATATTCTTCCTACCAATATAATGTTCACTAGCAAAATTTTCTTTGCTTGAAATATGTGGAAAAATTATTTAATACAGGAAATCATTTTCATTTCCTGTTGATTAGTGTTAAAATTGATTTTAATAAAATTCTAAATGTTCAAATGTTCTTATTTTGTAATTATTTACTTCACTCATGTGTAAATTTTATTAGCAAATGCAAATGTGCAATGACATAAAGAATTTCATTATGATTTTTTTAATACTTCACACCTAAGTATTTCAATACCAAAATGAAGAGAATATTACAAGGAAAATAAATGCAGACTTTGTTCTTATTTTATTATATTTATTATAGGGACTGAAAGTAATATGGTGGGTGAAATTTCTGATAAAGCAGATGATTTATCATTTAACACGTACATACGAGTTTTGTACTTCAAGTAAAGCTAATAAAGAAATAAAGAAATAGCTATTGATTTCAATTTAGGAAATTCTTCAAACAATTTTTCCTTAACTAATTTGTATAATTTCTTGGGACGTGCTATGAAACTGGTTAGGGTCAAAACTCTGAAGTACAACATATGAGTGTCTTCTGTTTATTTACATTCGTACTATATATAGATACTACAATAGATCATATTCTGATAATCTTTGTGTCTTTTTTTTTTTTTTTGACAGTCAGATCAAATCTGTTATGCTGTACTCTGCGTATTTTCATATATCGCAGCTGGTCAAGAGCAGCGTCGATTAATGCAAAGTGAGGCACAAGGTGGAGCAACACCAAAACATCACTGACATATCTAGCCATTTGAAGGAAATAGACCAACATCTCAGATTAATACCACTGTGCCACACAGTGTTTGTACTCCGTACTGTTTGCCTTGGAAGTGATGATGTAAATATGATATTGAGGCATGTGATGTAAACAAGAATTTCATCATTACTCTTTGTCTCAGGTGAAAGATTAAAATTGATTTTCGTGTGTAAGTGACATTATGTGCGTTCAAGAATCTTGATTTCCAAAAATTAATAAGAATTATAATTGCTCTCTAATTTAATATTTTGATAATTGAAAATGACAAAAACTGATGTCATATTGAAAAGGTCTTGTATTGAATTGTAGCTGAACTTTATTCAGCATATTAGAATAACATTTTACAATGTTGTTTTATTTCTCTGAGAGTTATTCTGAAATTGTGTGAACTGATGTGAACAAAATTTTTTTTGTGGATGTTTTCTCTTATTCTATTTAATATTTTTCTGATGGCTGTTCGTGATATATATTGAAAGTTGAAAAGTATTTCTGACAAAAGTATACTTCTGTTTTATGACAGTAACCTCTCACATGGGTGAATTTTGCAGATTGTTAAAACATATTAAAAAGACTTCAAGTAATAACAGAGGTGGACCCAGAATTTTCCTTGGGGGAGAGAGCTATTTAATACAGTGTTGAGCTAACTGGGTGTTTTGTTATAAAGAATTTTTCATTTATGATAAATATAAAATGTTGACGAATAGTTAATATTTTTAATGCAAACAATTAAGATATTGAATGACTTTAATTCCTACAAAAAAATAGTGAAAGCTAAATTTTTTAATATGTATCATTGGCTTGGAGGGTGGGAGCTGAAGCCCTCCACATACACACACACACACACATACACACACACACACCTGGGTGTGCCACTGAGTAACAATAAAAATAGTATTGTTATTTGTTTTATAATTGTTTATTTACAATGGAAGTAAAGATCCTAACCATGATTGAATTAATTGTTTATGCATTGATTATGTTCAATACTTCTCTCTAAATTCAATATTATTATCTATGTAAATGTTGGATGTGGTCTTTCACTTGAGACAATTGACAATAATGAGTAGTCTTTTGTATTGATTGAAGTTTTGTAATGTAAATAATGTATAGTGAATACATGTGTTTGTGTGCACATCTGATTGTATGAAGTCAGAGTTAAATTAAAATTAAAGGAATTATTCTTTTAGATGCTAATACACAAAGGTTCAGTCAAAGTTAATATGGTAAAGAATATATATTTTGATAGTTTTGCTAGTGTTAGTTATGAAACATGTTGGCTCCTTCAAGATTTATTTTTAATATTGTACATGTATTACGTTAAATTCACTTGTACTAATCAAGAAGTTAATCTTACATTCTTTAAGACTTTCCTCTACTTTAATGAGTTAATGTATTTCTAGTAAATTCATTTCTAACAAAAGAAAGAGAGAAAGGAAGGAAGAAGACAAGAATAGACAAAAAATTGTGCTCGATAGCTTAGATGATTCTCACAAGAAATGCTACACAAGTTATGGTTGTGTGAAATGAGGATACAGAAAAAAGGTGTCAGCTGATACTTGGTAATATTTAATTTGGATACATAAGAATCATTGGAATGTATGCCACACATTATGTACTTAAGCCAATACTTAAAAAATGTAAGCATACACCTTTTTTGTCCTGAATTGCAAACAAGATCTTGCTATTTCAGTGAATGCAGAAACCTCATTGACACATAATGTATTGTGATCTATTTAATACTATATAGAGTTGTTCTGAGAAGTAATTGATGAGATCTGAAATTTATAGCAATTGTAATTGAATGTGATATCAATTAATATCTAAAAAGTGCAAGAGATTGATAATTCCTCTTGCGTGTTTTTTCCCTGTACTAAGTTCATTAAAACTTCAAAAACTTTATTTTACTTTTGATATCTGAAATATTAACTGATCAATTGCATATTATAAATGACTAGAACCTGATTCTCCTCAATGGAGTGGAGGTATAATTGATCTGTTTTGTGAATAAGAGGAACAGAAATATCATATCTCATAGGATTGAAAGTATGCTCAGTTGCAGTGCTAGTGACAGACTTTTTGATAATAGTGTTATGTACTGTTACATTTGAGAGAAAGTCTGAAATTGTTTTATGTGGTTAATGAATGAAACATAAAAATTACATTATTGATAGTTGTTTCATTAAATTCATTCTGTAAGATCCAAATTGCATGCATCATTTCATGTCAATCTTCTTGCTGGCCATTTTGCCGTACATTGCTTGGAAAATATATCTTACAGAGGAATTAAAGACTGTTTGTTAGAACTGACTTGATTAATCTGTGTTGTATCATAATTCATATATTCTTTATATTGGATTTTGTGTAACATTTCTATTTTCTCTTTTCGATACTATAAACCTTTGTGTAATAAATCAATATATTTTCAAATTATAGAATTATTATGGCCTAATTTTGTCAGAAATGCCTTTAGCAATATGAATTTAGGATATTGAAATTTTTATGAAACTTCTATGCAATTGAGCATTCTTATCAACGACATTATATCACTGATTTTAAGGTTTTGGCATTGTTGATCCTTTTCATGTAAAAGTTTACAATATGTTGTGGTATTTAAATGCAGTTTTTAGAATATTTTTCAGAGGCTTACACATTTCATTCCAGTTTAACATTGATAAAATTGGTGAAAAAGTACAGAAGAGGAAATATGATAGTAGGCCTTTGAAATTGTTATGTATCATTACTCTCATACATTTTTGAACGGGTAAAAATGAAGATATATGCTGCATCTTGTTGGTGTTTACTTATTCAAAGACTTAACTTCATCGTGATACATGAGTAATTTCCATCTGAAAGTATGAATGTGATAATCTCATTCCTTCAATGTGTAGATATAATGTAAAAATGTAATTATGTACATAAATGTATATTTTGAGGTAGTTTGATTGTGAATTGCCAAGGTTGTGCCTCAAAAAGATAGATTATTAATGCTGAATATGAGTGGTTTCCTCTCACGGGTGTGCTTGTTTCATCATTCAGGTGGTTTCTTATAAAGTTTCGTGGAGTTTTTGCTCACACCATTCCACTGAGCATATATACATATATTCAAAACATATTAACACTTATTTTGCATTATGTTATGACAATTCAAATAAGTATAATAAATGAATTATCTTGACGTGTACTCTTGCAATAGGTGCTCATGTTCTTGAGTATGTTTTTGGAAATAATAATGGTAAGATCTCGGATATAACTGAGATTGTTTGTGTTTTGGTCCCTTGTTACGTGTCTATTATTAAAATAAAATAGTTTTGATATTGTAATTTTTCCTTGTGACAGTTTTTCAAAATATAATGTTATATTCTTTACCTCATGAAATAGTTAGATGTATTTGATTTTCTTCCAAGATCTGGGAACTGTGTCTTCTGGTCAAAAATATCTTCACTCATCACTTTCAGTATTAGGCTCAATATATTTTATCTTCACTTCTCTCACTTTTGTGATTCTATGGTTTTGATATCTAAATTAGGACTGAATTTATTCAGTTTGTGTTGATGCCAGTTACGGGTTTTAATTAAAAAATATTCTATATCATACATACCAAATGTAATTATGTATGTGAACTTATAATGTACTTTTATCTTAGAAGTATATTATACAATCCAGAGAAGAAACAAGCAATAGAGTAAATACACTCAGTCTGAAAGTGACCAATATTTTATGCATTAGACTAGCTTTCTTATGAATTGCCTGTTATTCCCAATAAAGCTGTGTATATTGAAAATGTATGTTAAATGTATTTGTTATGGAATTTTTCATAGATTTGGATTCTTCTGTGTTGTGTCCATATTGTACAAATGTGTAAACAAGTATTACTGTTTTCAAAAGAAGTGATATGTATTTATAAAAGCTCAGAAACATTGTGTCTGAATAATACATATGTGTATTACGTTCACAACTTCATATTACATTCACTCACACACACACCCAGAAAATTGGATAGTACCTAACCTTCTTACATATATACATACAAACACACATACATACACACAAGCATACTCATATACTTATACTACATGCTACACAGAAACACATGTATACGTACAGACATTTATACAGACAGAAATGTACATACATTTGTACATGTAACTGTATACACTTGCATACATACACACATATGTGTAAACATATCAGAATAAAAACTAAAATGCACAAAATGTTGTCATCACCTTTGTCAGAACAGTTCCTTTGATTTTCTCAAAGACAACCATCCATAATTTTCCTCTTTTTTTAATCCCTTGTAGTTATTTCTTTCAAACCCAGCATTTTCCTGTATTGCTCTCTTTGAACTTATTTTAAGCAAAGGGTGTCAGAAATTGATATTTTCTAATTTCTCTTTATTCTTATTTTTTAGAATTCATAGGTTATTAAAAGAAATATCCTCAATTTCTTTAATAACTTGGGTAGTTTTGGTTTGTGTATTCATATGTACTAGCCTATAAAGGTCATCTTGTATTGATTTTCTTGCTTACCAATATTTATAGGCTTTCAGGCAAAAAAGTGAGATTATATAGACATTGCATTAATCAAATCAAAAAGCAGTTTTAGTTGATTTTTGTAAGGTTTCCCAAAAGGAAATAGTTTCCTTTTGTCTCGCTTGTGTTCTCTGTTTATTCGATAATAAGGTTCTTAGGTAGTGTGTATAAATGTCTGATACATTGTGTTAGAGACTACACTAATTGTCACAGATGTAATGAATAAATTATTTTTCTTGACATGTGACCTATATTGTTGATTTTAAAGTTGGAATGGTTCTGAACTTCTGATCATATTAGTAAAGGATGTAGAACTGTGGCACAAATTTACATTGACTGCCCTACCTTGCCCTTTGTAAAAATGTAACACAAAAAGAGGCATAGGTATTAAAGGAAACAGGAGTAAATAGTTGCTTTACATATCTAAAATATGGATTAGATTATTACTCAGGTAGATTTTATTACTTAGATTGGCATACATGACTTTTTCTCGAGAAAGATAAAAATATTAGAAATCTTTCCATTTTTTTTTGTATAATAATTTTCCAGGATAACAATAATGAATAATAATAATAGTAATAACAATAACAATTATATATTTGTCTCATAAATACAGTACAAGCTGTACATGATAAGTCAAGATATGTACATAATCCTACATGTATAATGCAGATATTTCAAAAAACTAAAGACAATATAGAAATACAAACTTTTTACTAAATACACTACAGACAATTTTATTGTAATTTGCAATGGAAAAGAATATAATACAATAATTTGCATACAACCAAAATAGTTGAACCCTCCACAAACTTTAATTATGAATGCTATATTACCTTATACATGTCCTAATCTGCCATGCAATCTAATGTGCAAAAAGTCGTCAATGGAATTACTGATTGAAATCTAGCAGATGCTACAAATATTGTCCGAAATCAAATCTTGAATTATAAATAATTTTGCCACCGTGAATGAACACTGGGTCACATGAACAAGAACTTCATGGAAGAGGTAAATAGGCAATGTTTCACTATAAACAGTTTAAACAACACAATTTCAATAAAATAAACTTGCAACTCGATACCACAAATGTCTAACGTACTATGATAAAATAATGTTACCAACGTACTGTAGATGAGGTCACGCATATGGTAATTTAGCGACCATAATTACATTTTATGGAAGATCTTTATGAACATAATAAAGTAATGGCATAATTTTCATTCGACTATTTTGGGTCGTTGATTGAAGAAAATACAATATTGTAGTCAATTCTCGGCTAATCCATGCATTTCGTTTAAATCTGCCACAACAGCCGGGCGGGCGGCGGCGGCCCACTGCGTGACGTCAGCCGCCCGGCCGTCCGCCGACGGGCACGCCCGGCAGTTCACAATTAATTACTTGGAAGTTTGAAGAGCAATTAAATTAATTTTTGCATAATTAATTAGCAACTAAATCGCTCTACAGAATGGCGTATTTGTTTTCATGAAAACCTAGTGTGGTAGTGCCAGCTTAGTCTTAAGCTAGCTCGTCATTAATTACTCGGAAGTTTGAAGAGCAATTAAATTAATTTTTGTGTAGTTAATTAGCAATTACATAGTTCTATATGTGGTTTATTTAGTTTTGTGGTAACCGATTGTAGTGCCAGCTTCAGAGAAGTAAGGGAAAGACACGTGGATATGTTATTGGTTAGTGAGCAGCACAATATTGACGAAATGTCCTATGGCCAGGACTCAACTGCAGGCATATTATTTAATCCCAAACTGAGAATTAATACATTTAAAAATACAAAGGATTGGTCTGGGCGGATAAGGAAAACCTAAGAAAATTTAGCTGCTATTTCTCACTTAACGACTGCATTGAAAAATTTAGGAAACTTAGACGAACAGAAGGCAAGTACGAACTCAGCACCAGTAGAAATAATTGTTTCCGGAGAATTTTGAATGGGGTGAAAGCATGCTTGATCGTACAGGTGAGATTGTCTGCAAATTCATGGCAAGGACAGATCTGGTGGGTTTAAATACAGGGAGCTCGTATACCTTTCAGAAAGGGGCAGTATCGTCCATACAATGGGAACCTCAAAGATAGCGAGGAATGTTCAGGATTGGCAAATTCTTGATGAAGAGATACTTTGCGATCATCGCTATATAGAATTTTCCACTTCACCCGTTGGAAACAGAGCTGGAAGAGGGATACAGTCCAACGGGACCATCATGGAATACCAAAAAAACTAAACGCAGAAAAGGCCATAACATTCCTTGATGAAGTTAAACTGTTGCAGAATATTGGCTGGGTAAGAAAAAGTAAAGTACCTCGAAGAGGTAGTATAGGAAACGTGGAAAATCGTTAAAAATACGGATGAGATCTCAATGCCTAGACGCAGAGGCCCAAGGGGGGAAACTTGTGGACTGCGGATATTGCAGAACTCCGTAAAGCATCTGTTAAAGCTTGCAGACTTGCAACACGAGCCAAACTGGGCATACAACTAAGGGAAGACTATAGGAGGTAACATCTAATGACCGAAAATCGGAGGTAGGAGTCAAATAGGAGGTAACATCTAAAGATCGTAATCATCTTAAGACCGAAATCAAAAGAAGTAAAACCAAATGCTGGAAGGTCTTAGTAAATGAGGTAGAAAATGACCCCTGGGGAAAATCCTTTAAAATAGTTATGGGAAAATTTAAACCATCCAACACTGCGGAACTTGAATATCCCGAGTGGGTGAAGGTAATAATTATCAGAGATCTTTTTCCTAGAAGAGAGCGCTGGGTAAAGGATAGGCCTTCTGACTACCACTTCGACGAAGTTAATTTCATCGCGAAGGATGAAATAATACAAATGATAAAGACAAAGAAGAAAACAGCGGCAGGACCAGACGGGATCCCCATCGTGATCTTTAGTAAAGTGGTTAAAGAATGCCTCCTGGATGCCTTTAATCACTGCCTCAAAAATGGGGAAATTCTTTAAGGTAAGCCTGTCCAACTTAGAAGGGCTTATGGGCCACATATCAAATTCTATTTACGATGCCGCACCGTAATTTAAGATGTTTTTACCCTAACTACTGAGATTATACTGAAATAAATCTATATTAGATACGACTTTTATTCAACATACCTGATTAATGTATATACAACGAGAAAATTAATACATCATTAAATAAAAAAATATGAATTGTGCAATTGTTTAGTGAGAAGATTGAGGGTGTTCCGCTTCATTCACCAACGAATTTATGTCCACTTTCAGCTCCATTGTAGCCAGTCTCATAAAGTGACTTTCAGTAGACCAATAATGATAAGGGTTATTTCCCAATTATAATTACAGTTATGTATTTATGAAAATGCATAACTGAATAACTAAGAAACGTATTTGATTAGTACAATGAATTTTTTCAAAGCAGTCGCGGGCCGCACAAAAAGATCCGGTGGGTCACCAATTGGAAAGCCCTTCTTTAAGGAATGGAAACAGAAGCTAATCCTCATACGGGAAGAAAACAAGCCAATTGAGATGACGTCGTCAGTCAGACCTTTGTGCTTGCTGGATACGATGAGTAAATTACTTGAGGGGTTGCTCTTTCTACGATTAGAGAAACACATGATTTCAGAAATAAACTTTCCAACAAGACAATTTAGGTTTAGAGGGGTATCTCGACAATAGACGCTTTTGCCGAAGGAGTCCACTATGCTGAAACAGTCAAAAGTAAGAAAGGTTTTTGCGCTCTGGTGGCGGTAGACATAAAAACGCATTCAACTTCGCCAGGTGGAACATAATACAAGATTTGGTAGCTAAGAAGGTCCCTGAGTACCTTGTGAGAATTCTGGAGGACTACCTTAGCCAGAGAAAAATAATATACACAAATGACTATAGAGTAGAGGAAGGAATGACTTGTGGTGTCCCACAAGGGTGAAGACTGAGCCCATTTCTGTGGAATGTGTTATACGACGATCTGCTAGAACATTGAGCTTCCGAAGAACTCTCAACTCATTGGTTATGCTGACAATACACTGATAATGTCCAATAGGGACAACATGGAGCTATTTGAAATGAAGATCAATGAAATTCTTGGTAAGGTGAAAAGATGGCTGTGTATAAGAAAT